TTAAATTAATTTCTGTCCAGATTCTTGTAAAATGCATAAGTAATTGTGTCTTGCTTCAATTTGGCTGATATTCGAGTATGTTGTGTTTCTAGCATGTTTATGTGTTGTGTAAAATTTTTAGAATTTTTGGACTAGGTTTAATAGGGTTAATAATTTAATTGGTGTTTCTGCTCAAATTTGTTTTAATTGTGATAAATTGATCCGAAACTGAAAAATTCTGAATTTTGGTTGAGAATCTGAATATGTGATTTTTAGCATGCTGTAAAAATATTGGAATTTTTGGAGTTCGTTTAGAATCAGTTCTGATAGAAATTCGATAATTGGCTGAATGTTGTTTTAATTTTATAAATTCACATGTTGAGTGTTTAAGGCTGATACTTTTATGTGTTTCTTATCATATGCTGAAGTATTTGAGATAAAATTTTCATGGCCTGAATCGTTCATTATCATGTGTTTCTAATTTAAGCTCGTTTTTGTTGAAAAATTTGTTTGAATTTTATAAAATTGGGTTTAATGAGTTTGAGGCTGAAACTTAATGTTTTTACTCAATTCTGGGAGGTGAATTTTATGTAAAATTTTTAGAGCCTAACTCGTAGGTTTGATATTCCTCCTATTTCAAGTGTGAATTTTGACAATTATTTAAATTGGTGATTTTTGGTTAAGTGTTGGTGATCACATCTCGTTATGAGTTATCTGGGACTCGTGTGATTATTTTTCATGTGCGATTATGTGAACTCGAATATGTGGTTTGATCGAGTCTAAGTCCTAGTGTTCCCATATCCACAGAACTTCACGAATCATTTGGTCGAACCGAGTTCGGCTAAGTCAATTTGTGAATTTTCTACATGGGTCTAGATTAAAGTGTTGACTTTAGTATCTGGACTTAATGTAGGTGTCTAGAGGTGTTGACCTCGCCTCATCTCGAGATTTGTGATTTGGACTGTAGCTGCTATCAGGTGGGTACATTTATGATGTATTCCATATTTATCGCACTCCTTATTTCGTGTAATATTTCTTTTGAAAATTATTGTATGCATGAGAACTCTAGTCTAAGTGTCCCGAACGATAGTGCCTTTGACGAATGCATAACAGTGAGAGGTCACCTGCCCGTTGTATCCGGGAGGCGACGCCCTGATCCGTGTGAGTTTCGGGGGGGAAAAACATCTCCACTGTCTCCTGGAAAACATCCATGATCCGTGAGTAGTTCGGGGTGGACTCCCATGATCCGTGTGTGGTTCGGGGTGGGGGAAATTTTCCAGTTACGGCCTTGCCGATGTTTGGTCGGAAGGTTGTTGTATGTACATAGGAGGTTTGCGATAGGGCCGGGTAGGGGGTTTAGGCTATGAATTCTATGCATACGGATATTGATATTGGTTTATTATGAAACTGCTTTCTAAATAATTATACGAGATAACCGTGCGATAATGGTGAGCTAGTTGGTTGCTCACCCCCATTATTTTCTTTGTTGTTTTCCTCTCTTCCTTTGTTTTAGGTTGAGACGAGCTGAAGGCGGTGGCGTAGGACGAGCGAGATGGTGGTCACTGTTTGATGATATATTATGCTTCCGCCTGTTTATGATTTGTTGAACTGAATCATGACTTGAATTATTTTTCCGCTTGGATTTGGATTATTTATTTATGTGCCTTCGAGCTATGTTTGAGTTTTCGTTTGAACCTGGATTCATGATAGACATTTGGGAGTGATTTTGAGATTTATGTTTTATGCCATCGTTTATTTTGATAGCTCAAGCATGTGTAGGTTCTTTGGATTGATTGATTGGACGTGTTCATTTACTGTGGTTAATAGGTAGCGCCCGTCTCTCGATAAATGTTTTTAATTTGGATTTAAAAAAAAAAAATAACTCTGATTTTTATCAAATAAATTCGGTAAATTCTTTAAAATAAAACGGGGCGTTACACCTAACTAGGATGATCTTAGGACCTACACTGAGTTTATGTAAGACATGGACTCAGGGAGGTGGCTTGATGCCATAAAAACATAAATGGACTCGATGTACTTGAATCAAGTTTAGAATTTGGTTGACTTACCAATTGGGGTTAGACCTATTGGATGCAAATGAGTTTTCAAAAGAAAACAGATGCAAATGGCAAAGTACAAACCTATAAGGCCAGATTGGTTGATAAAGGTTATAGTCAACGTGGAAGCATTGACTATGATGAGACCTTTTCACCAATTCCCAAAATTGAGTCCATTTAGATTTTACTTGCGATAGCTGCATACTATGACTATGATACTTGATAGATGGATGTTAAAATCATTTTCCTTGATGGGAAATTGGAGGATAAATATATGATACAACCTAAAGGTTTTATATCAAAGTCAAAGTCGAAGTTAGTATGGAGTTACAAAGGTCCAATAGTGGACTTAAGCAAGCCTCTGGGAGCTGAAATGTTTGTTTCTACAAAGTTACATAATTGTTTGGCTTTGTGAGAAATAAGAAGGATTTATGCGTTTAAAGTAAACGCAATGAGGATAATATTATTTTATCATATATGTATGTGACATATTGATAATGAAATGATGTTCCTCACCTGCAGTCCATGAAAGATTGATTATCAATTACCTTCATTGTGAAGGACTTGCGTGAATCCTGCTATACTCTTGAAATTAGGATCTATCGAGATAGACCTAATAAAGTGTTAGAGTTTTCACGGTCCACGTGTATAGTCAAGGTACTGAAGTACTTCTCCATGGAAAAATTCTAACAAAATAGAATATTCCAATGGTCATGACGTTAAGTTTGCAAACAAAGATTGTCTTTCAATTGATGCGAAACTTGGGCACATGAAGAAGATCCCATATGCTTATGCAATGGAATCTATCATGCATGTATGACACTACGAGGTCTATATAGATTATGCACTTAGTATCACTTATAGATTCCAATAAAATCCTAGGGAGATGCATTGGAAGACTGTTAAGACTATTCTTTAGTACATTAGATGGACTAAAGAATATATTTTATTCTATGGTGGGAATAATGATTTAATAGTTACATTCATGTCAATGATGTGGGAGTGAGCTAGAATAGTTCAAGCAACAGACCACTGTGAATTCAACCGTAAAGGCCAAGTACATTGTTGCATTAAAAGCCTATGAAGGCTGTTTGGATACATGAGTTCTTAAATGAACTAGGGGTAGTTCCAAGTGCTGTTTATCTAATGTTTACATATTATGATAAAACGGTGCGATTGCACGGGCAAAGGAACCAAGATCCAACAACAAAGTAAACATGTACAAAGGCGCTATCATTTATTTAGAGATAATTGATAGAGGAGAAATAAGATAGAATGTGTTCGAATTGAACATAACTTGAATGGTTTGTTCACCAAACCATTGTGCATAGTTGAGCACAATTGTCATTTTAAGAAAATGTGTATTAGATACATTGGTGATTGCCTCTAGTTCAAGTGGGAGATTGTTGGTATATGTGTCCTAGAGACAATCTTTTTAAGGACATATATACATGATCACATTAATAATTATATTGGATTATAATTATGGTATTGCAATTAATTAAATAATTGTTTGATTGTTTGCAAATTATTAATTAATTGCTCCCTTGAGTTGATACTGTCATTAAAAGAGTGAGATGTTAATTGATAAAGTATAACTCTCAAATCGCCTCAATCGATGATCATTAAGAAAGGAATATTAATGATACGCGATAGATTGACATGTGGTCTGCATCACATTCTTGGAGAATATTGTATGTCTCACTGCTATGAATAATGGTTATTCATGATTGACACATGAGTACTTTGGAGAGTATTGGTATACCCTACCGATAAACCATTTGAATATGTGTCTATGGGAGTATCGGTGTGTGGAATGGTGTAATAGTCCTTTGACTTGAGGTCAATACGCAATTCATGTATAGAGTGATTTACTTAGACCTAGTCCAAAGCTTACGCCCTTATGGGTAGATACGGGCTTGTGTTGGGTTGGTCACGATATACATGGAATTGGTAGTTGAGCCAAGATAGGATTCATCCTCGAATATAGTTTCGAGAGAACACTCGTTTTCTCTATACTGGGTTGATAAAGTCATTGGCCAATGCACGTGATTATATTTGAAATGGTGTTCAAATATAATTGATAAAATCAACCAGTGAGATGAGATAAAATGATTAAGCTGTTTGGACAGACACACATTCAAGTCCTAAGCTTAATCGAGTAGTTCATGAATGAAGGGACCGTATCACTATTGAATTCTACACCAAAGGTTTGTTTGCTTTGTCTATGTAAACGTACTTCATATTTTGAGTTCGTCCTTCGACGCAGTCTAGGAGTCTCGCAAGGATCATAAATTAGATTTATGTCAATATATGAAGGCCTATAGGGTCACACAATATGCAATCTATTTTCCGGCTAAGAGTGAATTGAGAGTGTTAAATATTCAATTGGATTGGAATATTTATTTTTGAGTAATGAGATTATTTTCTATTTGATAGAAAATATTTAATTAAGTTAAATTAGACTTAAACTTAATTAAATCATTAATTAATTGAATTGGGTCCAATTACCTATTGGGCTAAGTTATCCTAAAGCCCATATAATTAGGTTTAACTTAATTATAAATAGGTGGTTATCTCTTCATTAGATGGGTAATGATCATTAGATGAGAAAAAAGAGATACGCCATAAAATACAAAACACTCTCTGGCTTTCTGATTGAGGATTCCTAGCGTCTTCACCAGAAAGGATTCATTGCGTTGGATCGTGAACCGGGATCTGGATTGCGTGGATACCATAGTTGAAGACAAAGCTTAAATTGTAAGTTTTCGTGTATTATTCACGTGATCTAGGATCATATCGAATAGCTATAGCCGGATCTTCGTTGTTGGTAAGAAAATTTTAAAATTCCGCTGCGCGTGCGATTGATTCGTACGTCGAAAATCCAACAGAAGAGTTCACCTTCTGTAAGCATGCTAACTGATTCTTCTTTGCGGAACAAAAAGAACGTCCCTTCTAAGACAGAAAATCCAGAGGAAGTTCCCGAAAAGAGAGGTGACAAAAGGTCACAATCAGGCCAGATTGTAACCAATTTGACAGTGATGAATCCTCCAAAAAAGTTTGTAATCTATAAGAGCTTGCTCGGCAGACCACTTTTCCGTGACTGCAGCAGTGAAAGTTCGGGTGGCGAAAATTAAATATTGCTCGCCTAATCAATTTATCGTGACAGCAATCATCCACATCTGACGACTCTGAGAGTGAAAGTGACTTGAGCCAGGACCCAACTAGAGATGGTATGTCTACTCTTGTTGTGTGGCCGTCTCGAACCCACCGCTTCAGCCATCGGCAGCGGAAGATTCGTCTTTTGGCTCGTCTGACCGCAACACGCCTTGTCGAGCCCGACAGAGGTGCTGCTCATGTCACAGGAATTCCCGGACAGCCTTCTTTTGTCCCTAGCTGGTGCTAGTTGTCTCTTTCGGGCCTGTTTTCAGCCCGTTTCCAGCTACAATCAAATACACACAATAAAGATTAGGCAAAGACAGCAAATAGAGGGGAATTAGATAAATAGAAGAAGCTGAAAATATGGGAATAAAATAGAAGGAACAAATCCACCTTTATCTCGTCGGAATCCGTTCGTAATTAGGACATGAAGTCCAGCTCAGATCGCCCTTGAACCCGGCACCCGCGGTAAGTCGCAGCTCGGTGGTGGTCAAGACCGGCAGCCCCGGTTCCTCAGCCCGTTCCCCAGGCTGCACCTCCTCACGAGCTACGCACCAGGTTCACCGTCGCAAAGCCTCGCCTATGCACAGAGGCTCGCCGGAAAACTCCACTCAAGAGCTTTATCCGGCGACAGAAAGCTATGGCGGCACTCCAACGAGTCTCAGCGGCTGCACTCACGCTCGAAGGTCACAGAGAACAAAGAGCAATAGAATAGAGAGATCGATCGGTTTTTCTCACAGAGAGAAAGAGAGAGAGAGAGATTTTTGCGCAGCAGCGATAGAGTAGGGTGAGGTGAGTGTAGTCTGTTCTAATTAAGGCAAGAGGGGGTATTTAAGGTGTAGGATGAGTGGCTGGGATTAAATCCCTAAATCCAAGGGTCCACATTAATCTGACAGGTAAGTGGGTAAGGGCCAGGCCCAGCGAGATTGGGCCGAGACATCCTTGGGCCTGAGATAGGGATTTGATTTTTGGGCCAAATTTCCCAACATTTCTCCACCGATTTGGCCCACCACCGAATATCGGACACCTTGAGGAATCAGAGGACTTTCATCATCGCCTTACGACACCTACACTTTTCACGAAGCTCGCACACGTATCAAACAGGCAGCAAACACATAGTACACTACCCTAGCACACATCAATCACACGAATCAAAGTTCAAAGTTCTCATGCATGATCTAAATTTCTCAACAGGTAAACACTTGGTTCCCATATCAGTGGGGTTAAACTCGGATGCAATTTTTTCAAGATTAACTAAGCCTTTAGACACAATATCACGTATGCAATGGAACCTAACGTCTATATGCTTAGTGCGATCATGAAAAACGGGATTTATACACAATTGAATCCCCGATTAGCTATCGGAAAACACAGCAACATCCTTTTCAAGCAAACCAATTTCACATAAAAGGCCCTTCAACCAAACAGCCTCTGTCAAGGCCTCAGTTACAGCCACATATTCAGATTTGGTTGTCGAAACAGCAACTATATGTTGAAGTTGTGATTTCCAACTTACACAAGAGCCACACAAAGTAAACACATATGAAGTTGTTGATTTCTTATTATCTCTATCATTTGCATAATTCGAATCAACATAGCCAACAAGTTTAACACCCACAGAACACTTAGAAAATTTCAGACCAACATGCATAAAACCATTCAAGTAACGTAACAACCACTTAAGAGCTTCCCAATGAGGCATACCCAGATTAAACATGTACCTACTCAAACAACTAACAGCATGATGGGTCTACTTCCAGATCTGAAGTAAACCGGTGGTTGTGAGCTAAGATCTGCTTGAACCGCCTCAAAACCGTCGTTGGACCGCGAGAATACCTGCAAAAACTCAACGCCGGAGGTGTTTCTGGCGTAGAGCCTCCGACGCTCAAGTCAGTATGTGAGTGATGAAGAGAGGCTGCGCAGCAGCTATGGGGGAGAGTGGGAATGAATGAGCGTTAGGGTTTGGGTTACCTCGCCTCCTTTATATAGGAGTGAATACCTACTTGAAGTGCCCAAAATGCCCAAGTCAGTGGACCTAGAAGGTCCAAAATGCCCCTGTCGATTCGTCTCCCCTTTGTTGCTGAGTCATCGCAAGATTCCTTCTTATCCTTGGTAATGTGTAGAGCTTTGGATATGTCGCAAGTGTGGTGAATCGTCTTCACCACTTTGATCCTCGAGATGTATAGAGTCGACCTCGAGAACTAGGAGGTCGACTTACGAATATATGCAGTTTCAGAGGCTACACCTGGTTTAACTCCCTGCGGTGATTCTCATAGAGAGTCGTCATGAGGAAGTCGACTAGTGGAAGTCGACCTAGAGTATCTGGATAGTTGGGAGTTGCATTCTTGATGTCCTTCTAGTGTGAGGTCGACTAGCAAAAGTCGATAATTAGAGGTCGACTTGTGGGAGTCGACTAGACCAATTTCTGCCTCCTCTTGATTGTTTTCGGTAAAGTCGACTTCAGGGAAGTCGACTCAAACATGTCGACGAATCACCTCGATATGTGAGTCGTTCAAATGGTTCACCGGTCGAGTAGGAAGCCTCTTAGACCGGATTATCCTTATGTGACTATATCACAGCATATGCAATATCCAGCCTAGTACTAATCATGAGATACATCACAGAACCAATTGCATTTCAATACGGCACATTCTTCATCAAATCAATTTCAAAATCAGTCTTGGGATACTGATCCTTACTTAATACAAAATGGGCAGCAAGAGGGACATTCACGAACTTTGCGGACGACATAGAAAATTTACTCAAAATCTTCTCCACATAAGAAATTTGATTAAGAAAAATCACGGAGTTTTTCCTATCACGAATAATGTTCATTTTAAGAATCCTTTTAGCATCTCCAAGGTTTTTCATATCAAAATTATCACTAAGACATTTTTGAACATACTCAATCGACTTAATACAAGGACAGACCAGCAACATATCATCCACGTAAATGAGCAGAAAAACAGGAACAGAAGCATTTTCTTTAAAGTACAAGGAACGATCATATGAACTCCTTTTAGACTTTAAAGAAAGCATGAACATATCAAATTTCTTGTTCCATTGGCTAGGAGATTGTTTCAAACCATACAAGGATTTATCAACAAACACACATAATCATATTTCTTAGCATCCACAAAACCGACAGGTTGTTTCATATAAATTTTTTCATCCAATTCACCATGCAAGAAAGAAGTTCTAACATCCAACTGTTTCAATTCCCAACCAAAATGAGCAACTAATGCAAGCATGATACACACAGTGATGAACTTAACAACAGGAGAAAAAATCTCGGTATAATCAATACCCTCACGTTGAGTGAAACCTTTTGCTACGAGTCTAGCCTTAACCTAACAGAATCTTTCTCTTGTTTAACCTTATACAACCATTTGCAATACATTAAGGAACAATTATCAGGTGTAGGAACAAGAGACCAAGTATGATTCACATGCAACGAATCAATTTCTTCACGCATAGCATTCATCCATTGTAAAGAATTCACAGATTTTAGGGCTTCCTCATAAGATTTAGGCTCACAATTATCAATGGACTCGAAAACACCAAAAGCATATGAAGTCATGTGAAAATCATCAAACTTAGAAGGTTTCTTACGTTCCCTTCTAGTCCTATCTCTAGCAAGTTGATAATCATGCAAATCAACATCATTTTCAGGCACGTTTTACACATATTCATCATGCACATCGACATTTTCACCATCTTCAGCATGCTGATTTTCAATTTCAGCAAACAGATTTTCATTTTCAGCAATATCAATAGGCTGATTATCAAACACAGCACGTTCGGTTTCAATTTCAGCATGCATATTTTTAGAATTATCGAAATCACTTAAACCAGTCAATTGCTTCACCTTATTTGGAGCATATTCAGATTCATCAGGTAAAGGATCAGGCAAATAAGCATTTAAACATGGCATTTCAGATTCATTGAACACAACATCACGACTTATCACGACCTTAAAGCCGGGTACGCTTCTAAGCCATAATCTATAACCTTTAACACCTTCAGGATATCCTAAGAAAACACATTTCATTGACCGTGGTTCAAGTTTATCAAGTTCCGTATGACAAAATGCAGTACAACCGAAAACACGCAAGTTTGAAAAATCAATTTCCTTTCCAGACCAAACAAACTCAGGACACTTACCATTCAAAGGCACAGAAGGCGATCTATTAATCAAATAAGAAGCAGTTAAAACAGCCTCACCCCAAAACTTTTTTGAAAGACCCGAACTAGACAGCATACACCTCACCCTTTCAAGTAAAGTTCTATTCATTCGCTCAGCAACACCGTTTTGTTTAGGGGTGTAAGGCACGGTTTTATGCCTTTGAATACCAGATTGAGCACATAATTCATCAAACAAATTATTGCAAAATTCAAGCCCATTATCAGTCCTAAGAATTTTAATCTTTTTACCGGTTTGGTTTTCAATCAAGGTTTTCCAAGTCTTAAACGTTAAACACATCAGACTTATTTTTCAAAATGAACACAAAGACCTTTCTAGAAAAATTATCAATCACGGACAAGAAATACCTACTCCCGCCATGTGTCGAAACACTAGCAGGACCCCAAACTTTGGCATGAAAATATTCAAGAATTTCCGAACACATAAAGGTTTTAGGGGAAGGTGAAACAGGAAATTTAACACGTTGTTTGCCAAGCACACAAGAATCACAAAACGGCACACATGATAATTTATCTTTACCAAAACAGCCCGCTTTATGCAAAATTTCAAGACCACGACTACTCATATGACCAAAACGTTTATGCGAAATATCAGTTTGGTCCTCATGAACAACATTCACAGATATTTCAACATGTGACTCACAAGTAGCAGTGCAAACATACAAGTTTTTCCTTTTTTCAGCTTTGAAAATAATCAATGCACCTTTCATAATTTTCATAACTCTTTACCCCATTTACTCTGTAACCCGTCATCTTCAAGGGCAGCACATGATATCAAGTTATGGCGTCGGGAACATGACGAACATTTTTCAAACAAAGCACATAACCGAAATTAAACTTAAGGCACACATCACCAATACCAGCAACATCACAAAGTTTTTCATTTGCCACAACCTCTTTGTAGTTAGAAAATAAATTTCTAAATGGAGACATGTGAAAAGTGCAACCTGAATCAACAAGCCATTCATTTTCACAAAGATAAGAATGCATAGAATTGACATCGGCATGCATATCACATATTTCAGTCACCACAAACACATCACCAAGATTATCACTACACGAGGCCACATTAGCTGTATTCTTTTTTGATTTACTGCACTCTTTAGCATAATGCCCAACATCACCACAATTGTAACACTTACGATTTTTCGGACGGGATTTAGAACGTCTTTTTCCTTTACCCTTTTTCTTTTCAGCGGGTTGGTTACCATTATTGTTAGAGGGCTTTTGAGTTTGAAATCTATTTTGTTGCCTCCCTCTAACAAAATGAACCTCACTCGAATTTGTAAATGGAGACATGTGAAAAGTGCAACCGGAATCAACAAGTTATTCATTTTCACAAAGATAAGAATGCATAGAATTCACATCGACATGCTATCACATATTTCAGTCACCACAAACACATCACCAAGTTTATCACTACACGAGGCCACATTAGCTTTATTCTTTTTGGATTTAGTGCACTCTTTAGCATAATGCCCAACATCACCACAATTGTAACACTTACGATTTTTCGGACGGGATTTAGAACGGATTTTTCCTTTACCCTTTTTCTTTTCAGCAGATTGGTTACCATTATTGTTAGAGGGCTTTTGATTTTGAAATCTATTTTGTTGCCTCCCTCTAACTAAATGAACCTCAACCGAATTTCTACTTCCCTTATACGCTTTTAAATCTAACTCTTTACTTTTTAATCCATTCACAACATTGTCAAGCGTCACATTGTCCCTACCATACTTAATAGCAGACTTGACATCACTATAAGAATACGGAATAGCATTTAAAAGTACAATAGGAGTATAATCATCAATATGCTTATCACCGGTCAATTTAATGTCCTGAACAAGTTAAGTAAACACATCAAGATTCTAATCAATGTCTTTCTAAAGATCAAGTTTAAACCGGAAAATTTTTTCAAGCAAGAACAATTTACTCGACAATGAGGTTTCAGTGTACAATTCTTCCAATTTTTCCCACAGATCTTTAGCCTAATCTAGTTTACCAACTTTCCTAAGCACAGAGTCAGACAAATTCAAGATAATTGACGAATAAGCAAATTGATCCATTTCCGCAATTTTATCTTTAGGCTCATCGGGTGAAAACGAGCCTTCAACAGCTTTAAACACCCTCTGTTGAATTAAAATCCCTTTCATTTTTTGTTGCCAAATTGAAAAATCAGATTTACCGTCAAACGGGGCCAAATTAAAAGCTGGAAACGAAGCCATTTTCACAGAAAACACAGCAATTTCTATTTAAAAACAGCAGCACAAAATACAGCGATTAAAACACTCAGAGTACAGCCCAAAATCAGATTTTTCAGCATTTCAAATCACACAGAGTTCAGCCAGATTAATATTCAGCTCGATAAACACGCAGTTTTCAACACCAATTAATTTCCAGCAGTATGAACATGCAATTTTCAGCACAATGAACATCAACAACTTTACAAAAAGTCACAGGAAAATTAATTAAACACTCAGCACAAATGAGGCACACAGACCCCAAAAATAGAGGAAAAACAGCAAAAAATACAGAATTTAATGCTACTAACAATGAGAATAGCCACAGGCTCAGAACAACAAGGATAAGCACATTAACACATAACATGCATGTCTAACCTAGTGATCTAGCAGCTAGTTCCCAACAGGCAATCCCCGGCCAGGGACTACAACTACGAAAGCGGTAAAAGTTAAGTCCAAGCCATTATACCAGAGCGAGCCCTAAGTGTTAGGTGCTCGACTTACCTATGCAGTGGTGGGACGGCTCACGCTCTGATACCACTGTTGTGTGGTCGTCCCGAACCCACCGCTTCAGCCATCGACAGCGGAAGCTTCGTCTTTTGGCTCGTCTGACCGCAACAACTCTGACACTACTTTCTATGTGGGCAGACTTCACTATAGGTTGTACTTCCTAGCCTCTAGGTCCGTGCGTTTTGTGGGGAAGTTTGTAATGTAGACATGTGTGAGTATGCATGCATGCTTATACTACATATTTCCTTCACGTTTTTTCATCTGAGTTAAGAATCTAATGATTTTCCAGAGGACTATGTTATTTTGCTTTTAAATGATTAATAATATATATGTATAATTTATGCGGAAAAAATGAGTTATGAATTATGATTACGTGTCCTATTCAAATGGCATGAATGCTTTGATTTATTTGCTCAAAGCTCTCTGTGTTGATTCTTGTTATCTGGTGTTCCGAGACTTGAAAGTGATATCCACATGTTTGTTTTAATCACAGGACACACAAATGCACAGGAAAATCTGATGGGAGAAAGATACTGTAACGCCCCGTTCGTTTATTAGAATTTTTGGATTTTATATAATTATTTATTTGTTCGCCTCACTTTTATTTTAGTCGTAGTGCTCGACAATTTTTCCCTTTTAATCTTATTAGAATTAAATAGATGTCCTCGTCTATTTAATTTTTCAAATTAAATCACCTAATCGAAAGTTTATATTTAAGAGGATGTCCTCCATCTTTTTAATTAATATTTTGTGCTCTTGCTTATTTAAATTGTTCCTAAGTGCTTAAATTGTTATTGTTTTCCCTAAGTGTACTTATTGTTTATTTTATTTTATTTTATTTTATTTTATTTTCCCTAAGTCATTATTGGGCCTAAGTGTATTTGCTTGTTCTTGTGTTTATTTTATTTTGCTAAGTGTTTGCCTAGTATCTAGTAAGTCCGGCCAAATTAAAAATCAAGCTTTTGTTGGCCCATTTGTGCCTTGACCCAATAACTCAAGCCCAACAAGGAATGAGACCAGATCACTACTCAATCGAATTTCCTCTCCTCTCGGATTTTCACTCCTTCCTTTCAACAGCTCATGCGCCACCATCGGAGACCACGACGCCCTAACCCAACTATCTCCATGTAATACTCCCATTACATAAATAGCACAAACACCCATCGTCATCCTCAATTTGTTCTCCTGCAAAAATTTCCAAAACCCTCTCCATTTCACTCGTAAACCGGCCCTCTTCCCACCGCTGCCCTCAATCCACCGCTGATAGCCAGCCCGGTGACGAGAAATCCCAGCGTTTCAATGATTTCTGATGAGTTCGAGCCCTAATCTCCAGTCACGGTAAGTCTAGACACCCGACGGCGAGATGAACACGTGATAGAGGGAAGGCCGCCGCTGCGGGAACCAACTTCTGAGGACTGAGCCATTCACGACGAGGCGATTTCTTGTGAGGCTGACGGGCGACTTAACAGAGAAACAACCACGAGGCCGTTTATTATCAAAACGCGAGCCACCAGATTTCCCGACGAGAGCAACAGACCGGGCCTCGAAAGTGAGAGTAGGCCCTCTAATCGCGACTGAAAACAATCTTTTCAGTGGAAGCACTCAACTGGGCAGAGTCGAGGGCTCCATTTTGAGACTGTTCAGGGACGGACCTCGATCCCTGCCCTTAAACTGAGTGACTAGAGAACCACTAGTTGTCGGCTGGTCGAGCAGCCCTTTTGACCACAGTTGGAGCTGGTTTTTGAGCACACCCAGAAGAGCCTTATTCGCGGCCGACAGTTGCGACGCAAAGCCGAGATCGGGCAGCAGATTCCGGCAATTTGGCGAGGCCATCCTGCAGCCGAGAAGAACCTCGACCGAGATCCGGCGTCCATGACCAGACGCGAGCCACCGACGGTCGAGGAGTTCGAGTTTTCGGCAGCGGCAGACCCAAGACCGGGAGTTCCCCGTCTAAGAGCAAACCCCTTTTTCTGCGGCTGAAAAAGGCCAAGCCTTCACGATGAGCAGAGTCCTCGGTCCCGACAGAGAGCTGAGAGCAGCGGTCGAGAGCTATAGCAAACCGAGCCTGTTTCTTTGTTTCTTTTATCTGTGCCAAAAGAGATATCGAGGAGTCGAGCCCTCGCCCTTGTTTGAACGTGCACTCGAAATCATCCTCTGCAGTATCAGGTGGGTGTTGATAAACTTACCATGTATGTTAATTTCTATAAATGCTTGGCTTGATGATCTACGTATGCATGTAAACCGGTAGTCTATGCGGCCTAACTCAAGCCTTTAGATAGCTTAGTCCGTGATGTTTCATGTGCGGTTGCTCCCGTCCTTTTCGTGAGGATGGCTCCCGTCTTTTTTGTGGGGACGGCTTGTTTTCTATCTTTTTTCGAGATTGATAGGTTAAGTGTGATCACATGAGCGTGGCTGTGTTTAAGGAGGGTAGACTAGTCGATTTGCTTACATACAGCGACCATGATTTTAAGTCTTTATATTGATTATACTGCATGGTATTCCCACGGTGATATAGTTGTTTGCTCACTCCCACTATTAACCATCTTTTCAGGTTGAGCTAGTGGCCGTGGCAATAGACGAGCGAGGCGGGGTCAGATTTATTTGCAGTTTTGTTATGTTATTGCTTCTGCCTGTTTATTAATTGATTTATTTGTCAGACATGTTAGATTAATGAGATTGGAGACTGAATTATGTATTCGGATATTTCGTATGCTATTATGAAGCCGATATTCTTATGTTGAAATTTGTTCGAGATTATTATCATGTGGAGACGGAATAATTGTTTCTGGGATTTTTATCTTGCTTGGGATTTATGGTACTTGAATATTATTTGGAATCTGATCTGATTTGAATATTATTATTATGTTGACCTGCATTTGGATATACCGCATGATGGAATAAATATTGTTGACATGAGATATTTGTTTCGGGATGGTTGTGCCCCGATGTTTAAGGGATTGACTTAAACCGTTATTATGTGGATAATTGAGTAGCGTCCGTTAATTAAGTTTTTAATTTGGTTTTTTCAAAAATTAACTATGATATGTGGGAAAATAAAGTATTATCTTTCACTTAAAAATAACGGGGTGTTACAGTTTGGCATCAGAGCAGGTCTACGTTTCTGTAGACTGCTTCTGATTTGTTAAGTACTTGTGTATATGACCCCTCACTTCGTCCAGCCGCGCCAGCTCAAGGTATGAGTATTGTTTAATTATTTATCTGGCCAGCTCAACTGTAACGCCCCGTTTCATTTTAAATAATTTATCGAATTAATTAATAAAAATCAGAGTTTTTTTTTTTTAAATTTTAAATTAAAAACATCTAACGAGAAACGGGCGCTACTTGCTAATGACATCAGATAAATACATCCATCAAACAAAAGAACCTACACATGCTCGGACTAACGATATAAAATTATCCCTTAAATTCATAAGTCTCAAAACATTCAAATAGGTCTAGCATGAAAAAGGTTCAACCAAACTTAAACATAATTCGAAAGCGGAAGCAAGAACTAATCCAAAGTATGAAAGAAATAATTAAGTAACAAGTTCGTGCATAACACATAATCTGTATACAAAATCAAAGCAGGGATATAAGCACATAATAAAATATCCAAATCCAAGCGGGAACAATAAATCAAGTCAAGTATCAGTTCAGCAAATCATAAACAGGCGGAAGCATAAAATTGCAATAACATAATTTGACCAACGACCATCCTCTCGCTCGTCTTTACGCCACCGCCACCAACTCAGCTCAACCTAAAGAAAGGAAGAGGAGACAACAACAGAAAAAAATGGGGGTGAGCAACCAACTAGCTCACCATTATCGCACGATTATTCCGCATAATAATTTTACAAACAAATAATCAATACCGGTATGCATAGAATTCATAGCCTAAACCCCCTACCCGGCCCTATCGCAAACCTCCTATGTACATACAACAACCTTCCGGATACAACGGCATGGCTGTAACTGGAAACCTTCCCACCCCCGGGTACAACGGTTCGTAGGATCCTTTCCAGGAGACAGCAAAGATGTTTTCCCCTTCCAGATACGACGGCATGGGGCGTCCCTCCCGGATACAACAGGCAGGCGACCTCCTACTGCTTTTGCATTCATCAAGGCACTAGCGTTCGGGACACTTAGGCTAGAGTTCTCCTGCATACAAAAATTTTCAAAAGAAACATTACACGAAATAATAAGTGTGATAATTATGGAATACATCATAAATGTACCCACCTGATTGCAGCAACAGTTCAAAGTCACAAATCTCGAAATGAGGCGAGGTCACACCTCTAGACACCTACATCAAGTCCAGATACAACACTTTAATCTAGACCTATGTAGAAAATTCACAAATTGACTTAGCCGAACTTGGTTCGACCAAGTGGTTCGTGAAGTTCTGTGGATATGGGAACTCTAGGACTTAGACTCGATCAAACCACATATTCAAGTTCACATAAATGCAAGTGAAGGACAAACAAACGAGCCACAAGTAAACACATGGCACATTTGGTCAACAACACTTAACAAATTTCAATATAGAAAAACAATTTCTCAAATTCACACTTGAATTAGAAGGCATATCAAATCAATGAGTTAGGTTCTGAAAATTTTACATAAATTTCACTTCTCAGTTCTAAGAAAAATAACCAAGTTTCAGCTTCCAACTCATTGTACAAAATTTTATGAAATTCACGCAAGTTTTTCAACAAAAACGAGTTTAAATTAAAAACACATGATAACGAATGATTCAGGCTATGCAATTTTTATCTAAAATACTACAACATGTGAACAGTAACACATAACTTTATCAGCCCTTAACACTCAGTATATGAATTTATAAAATTAAAACAACATTCAGCCAATTATCGAATTTCCATCAGAACTGAACCCAAACAAACTTAAAAATTTCCAATATTTTTACAGAATGCAATATATCACAAAATGAGCATCGGAACAAAAATTCAAAATTTTTCAGTTTCTGACCAATTTATCACAATTAAAATAAATTCTGGAAGAAACACAAAATAAATTATTTAACCTATCAAACCTAGTCCAAAAATTTTAAAACTTTTATACAACACTTAAACCTAACAGAGACAAAACATAATAGAATTTTAGCCAAATTAGAGCACTACACAATTAATTAGGAATTTAATAAGAATCTGAACAGAAATCAATTTAATTTTTAAAAATATTTAAAGACCTTTAAAAATCATGAAAATTTTACACGAGCTATATGTTCATCAGAGACAGCTGTTCCTAAAATATCAAGGCAATCGGACTAGTATTCAATTTATAATGAATTTTACATTCAAAACAGCCATTATAAACTTCTAAAAATCATAACGGCAAATATACACCTCCAATCGACACAAGGCCAATGCCATTGTGTTCGTAACAATCCTAAGTTCCTAAATCCACAGCAACCTAACACTTTTAACGTGTTCTCGTTCGATTCGCACGAATCGACCAAGATCATGTATAATACGACATTAATATTCAAACGTAATCACATGAAATCATAATCACAATTACACAGCACGTTTAACACCCATCTCACATAATCGCACACACAAAATAATACATAGAATTAAACGAGATGAGTCGAGCCTTGTACCGTTCTCGGGACTCGATCGAAAAACTAGACGAACGAGGGTTGACGGGCTCGACACGCGAAACGAGACGGCGATTGCTCGACGGCAGGCTTTGTCTCGCGGAGGGGCTGCGGGCTGGAGATGAGTCGTCGGGGCCGAAACGGGGTTTGCTGGAATCAGCCGAAGGCGGCGGCCGACTCGACGCCTGTGCTCGACTCGAGAAGTGGTTCAGCGGCGGTGATGGCGGCTCGTGGAGGAGTAGCAGCGGCTGTGGGAGGCTCGCCGGGCTGGGATGCTCTGACATGGAGGAGATGCTCGCTGGAGGTGATGGCCTGACTGGTGCACGGTTAGGGTTCGGCGAGGAGCAGCAAGAAGGCTGCGTGATGATGCTCGCCGGAAAGCGATCTAGCCGCGGCGGACGATCGCTGCAGAGAAGAAGGCCTCGTCTTCTGAGAAGAGAAGGTCGCCGGTGATGCTTCACGTGAACAGGGCTCGTCGGAGGGGGACCGCGGCGTTGCTGCGCGTGACTGAGGGTGGTGGTTCGCGGTGGTCTGAACTGGCGGAGCAGCGATGGTGACACGCAGAGGAGAGAGCTTGCCGGAGGTGATGGGCGACGTGCTGATGGCGATTCGCGCGACGAGAAGATGACGACGGGAACACAGAAAAATACGAGGGGGTGATGACGAGGTGGTCGAAGGATGGTGATGAGATGATCGGATAGAGGTAACGACGGGAAAACCAGAAAACGAATAGATCGTTTCTCTCTGTGCGCGAACGGGAAGGAAAAAGAAAAGACGAGATTGAGATAGAGACAGAGGGGCTGCGGCCGAAAAAACTGAGATGAACATATAGGTACAAGATTTGTATATATAGTTGCACAATATAATAAATTAGGTTTAACTTTGTCTTGATCCTTAAGACAATCTTTCTCACACGCACGCACGAAATTTGGGAGAGGCGGATTTGGGCCGGATTTTGGCTCGCAGCCCGTCGATTGGGCTGGTTCGCGACAATGAAATCAACTCACGGGCTCGATTTCGTTTTACACGGGTATTTTCGGGCTCAATAAAATCGCACGTTAATATATATTCGGCTCTCAGGCCCGATTTTCAAATCACACAAAAATAAACCCAGCTCTCGGGCTCGAGTTCTCCGATTACTAATTTCGACAGTTCCAATCGATCGCACAATAAATAAACAAAACTCCGGACAATATAAATTAAATACGTACATTGATTTTAAAATACTAATATTATTAATCAAAATATAAAATTAGCAATTAATTGGCAATTAGACATATAATATTTAGACCTTCAAATTGGCAAGCAATAATTAATATATCACAATAATAATAATAATAATAATTCAAATAAACC